TGAAAGTTGCCATGGTTGAGAAACACTGTGCTCGATGCATACCTTGCCTTTCCCCTAGAAAGCCAATAGTATGACTTCCACTGATTTTATCCTCACAACAATCCTGCAAGGCAGACTGGGGAAGAGACAGTGCCTGGCTCAAAGCCCCCAAGCCAGTTTGAACCCAGATTTCCTCTGGACCAATATTCCGATTATACATCATGTCTGAGTCCCGGAAGGAATGGCTCCCAACAAGCCCCTTCCTGAGCCACTGAGATTGTCAACTTTATAACATGGCTCCGTTCTTGGCTCTTAACCAGCTCATGACGCAAGAATGGCTATAAGGTGGATTCAAGTAGAAATTTCCATTTCCATTTCCAGAGGCATTGTGGGAAATCCTTACTGCTAGCTTCCCTTTTTTTTTTCATTTAAAACAACCCTAAACATTAAAATTGTGGATAAGAAAATATATATAAAAAGGAATATACATACATACATATATTCCTTTTTATTTTATTTTTACTATTTTACTATTTACTATTTCTTTTTTTCTTTCTGTACTTTTTATTTTTTCTTTTCTTTTCCTTAGTTTTTTATCTTTATATCTGTAAACTTTAATCAAAAAAATCATCATTTAAACAAATCGTGGATAAGAAGGTTGGCAGGCCCCAAAGGTGCCTGCAGGACATGCTCAAAAGCAGATATACAGGTAGTCCTCATTTAGCAACAGCCTCATTTAGTGACTGTTCGCAGTTACAACAGTGATGGAAAAGTAACTTTTCAACCAGTCCTTGCATTTATGACCTTTGCGGGTCTGTAAAGCAAAGGAAAGCTGAAGTAAGATCATAAGCAGAGTCGCGGTTTCACTTAGTGACTGCTTCACTTAACTCTGTTGCCAATCCCAATTATGATCACTAATTGAGGACTATCGGTACCACCTTCACCCCCACCCCCAGAATAGGTCTTACCTGTGTGGTAGGGCACTGCAAACCTTTCATTGCCACTGCCAATGGGTTTAGGTCCATGACACATTTTATGAGGTTGAAGTAGAGAAGATACGGTTTGTCACTAAACAAAAAAAGAGAGATTGAAGAACATATTAAAAGAAATAAATCCTGGTAATGAGAAACTGATGCTTGGGTTGCATCAGTTCTCAATGTACATCTACCTAACCAACCGCTGGGCATTATTTTGTACCTAGTTTTCACACATGACTTCAGCTGGGGACCACTGGGACGTTAGTCAAACAAGTAGGTCCTCCTCTGAACCTGGTATTTGCTCCCCTTGGCCCTTCCAAAACAACTGCAATTCTGCACTTTTATATAGGTAGTCCTTGCTTATTGACTGCCTTGTTTAGCAACCACAAAGTTATGATGGTTGAAGGAAAAAAACATCTTTGCACCCAATCCTTGCATTTATGGCCATTGCAGCATCCTGCGGTCACATGATGGCCATTTGCACGCTTCACAACCAGCTTGCTACAAGCAGAGTTAATAGAGAAGGCAGTAGTAAAATCACAAATCACAGTCACATGTGGCTGCTAAACGAGGACTACCTGTATTACAGGTTTCTTATTCCAGAAAAACTGTTGGTGTCTGCGCTTGGTTAAATCTCCTACCCCCCCCCCGGCAGAAAAATTGATTTCCTTTCTATCCAGCCATGTAAAACATCACAACAGACATAAAAAAACAGGGAGCCAAGGCCATAGTCATAGAGGAAGAGAAGATTGGGGAGAAAACGTGAAAAAAGAGAAACAGGAAGGCATGACTGGCTGAAGAATGAGAAAGTAAAAGCAGGAAAGGGTATAGGAGAAGCGTTTCTGCAGGAGGTGGTCCAAAAAGTCAAGATCGCAGCTGCAACGATGAGATCAGAGCTCTGCTTTTTTTAATGCACTTGCACATAAAAGACATTGGCGGAGCTTCAACTGCACTGTCCCAGCTGCCATCTTGACTTTTTGGACCACACCTTGCAGACACTCCTGGTCTAGAACAAAAGCAGAGGGGAGAATGTGAGATCTTGGCCTGTCCATCAGGCTCTGTTTCTGGATCCCAACACTGGGTACTTATTAAAATCCCCCCCTCTGGCAAAGCAACCCTTTTGATGGGTTCCTCTTCCTTCCCAGGGTTCCAAACGCACCGATTGCTGCCAACTCCACAATAGGATCCTGTTGAATTTCTGGGGTAAATAACTTGTCGGGGATCACCATACAGCCAGGCTTGCAAAAAAAAAAGAAAAAAGAAGGAAGGAAGGAAAGAGAGAGAGAAAATCAGTACTAAATAATTTACCATTAATTTTCACCAGGGATCTGGAAATTTCCAGAACTTTGAAGTCCCAGAAAGGGGAGGAGGGGAGAACTTCAAAATCAGGTGGATTGTCAAGCTTTTTAATTTTATTTATCAGATTTTTATCCCACCTTTTTGTACAACCCAAGGTGGTACACAGTGGGGCAAAAGAGTATTTAGTCAGCCACCAATTGTGCAAGTTCTCCCACTTAAAAAGATGAGAGAGGCCTGTAATTTTCATCATAGGTATACCTCAGAGGTTGTGGACAGGTGTCTTTTATACTGATAACAAGGTCAAAATTTTCATCATAGGTATACCTCAACTATGAGAGACAAAATGGGGGGGAAAATCCAGAAAATCACATTGTCTGATTTTTAAAGAATTTATTTGCAAATCATGGTGGAAAATAAGTATTTGGTCAATATCAAAAGTTCATCTCAATACTTTGTTATATATCCTTTGTTGGCAATGACAGAGGTCAAACATTTTCTGTAAGTCTGAGGTATACCTATGATGAAAATTACAGGCCTCTCTCATCTTTTTAAGTGGGAGAACTTGCACAATTGGTGGCTGACTAAATACTTTTTTGCCCCACTGTACATAATGCTCCTATCTTCTATTTTTATCTCATTTTCATCATAGGTATACCTCAACTATGAGAGACAAAATGGGGGGGAAAATCCAGAAAATCACATTGTCTGATTTTTAAAGAATTTATTTGCAAATCATGGTGGAAAATAAGTATTTGGTCAATATCAAAAGTTCATCTCAATACTTTGTTATATATCCTTTGTTGGCAATGACAGAGGTCAAACATTTTCTGTAAGTCTGAGGTATACCTATGATGAAAATTACAGGCCTCTCTCATCTTTTTAAGTGGGAGAACTTGCACAATTGGTGGCTGACTAAATACTTTTTTGCCCCACTGTACATAATGCTCCTATCTTCTATTTTTATCTCATTTTCATCATAGGTATACCTCAACTATGAGAGACAAAATGGGGGGGAAAATCCAGAAAATCACATTGTCTGATTTTTAAAGAATTTATTTGCAAATCATGGTGGAAAATAAGTATTTGGTCAATATCAAAAGTTCATCTCAATACTTTGTTATATATCCTTTGTTGGCAATGACAGAGGTCAAACATTTTCTGTAAGTCTGAGGTATACCTATGATGAAAATTACAGGCCTCTCTCATCTTTTTAAGTGGGAGAACTTGCACAATTGGTGGCTGACTAAATACTTTTTTGCCCCACTGTACATAATGCTCCTATCTTCTATTTTTATCTCCAATTCTTTGGACCTTGGGAAGCTGTTGGCTGTAGAGGAAAACTATCGGAAGACTTTTGTACATCGAGGAGACAGGACTGCAAAGCCTTGCAGGATTGTTGTGAGCATAAAATCAGTGGAAGTCATACTATTGGGTTTCTAGGGGAAAGGCAAGGTATGCATCGAGCACAGTGTTTCTCAACCATGGCAACTTTCAGATGGGTGGACTTCAACTCCCAGAATTCCCCAGCCAGCATGTTGAAATCCACCCATCTTAAAGTTCCCAAGGTTGAGAAACCCTGATCTAGCAAATAAGATTGTCTCTTCTGCTCTTGGGGTCTCCTGAGCCATCGTAGCTATCAAGCTTTATTAAGAGTTAAATTTATTTAAGTTGAATGATGTTTTGCACGAATGGTTACTAGCTAAGGAAGGTACAACCTTGGCATTTAGGGAGTATACCAGGAATGATAAAGTTGGCTGCTGTCCACCCGTTTTAGGTTTTAGCTTATCTTTTGGAGGAATATGAAATATAAGATGTGCAAACAGGTGTAATTAATTATCATGCCATCCTTAGCTGCACGTAGTGATCCTCTAAATTAAGGATAAAAAGCCTCGGAGTCCTGATCTTGTGGGCTTCGATGCAGACCTAATCTGGGAAGGTGCTGCATGCTGGCTATATTGGGGTCTCTTCATTGTTGTTACTGGGGCTCCCGACAACAGGTTGAAGAAAGCTGCTTGCTTGGTAATGTATTAATGCCTCCTTATTAATAAAGATCATTTAACTTCTCTCCACTTGTGTCTTCATTGCTTCTGAATCTTTAGTACTACAAAAAAAAAAAACCCATCGCCTTTGGCGGAAGATGGCCTGCTTCTGTTCAGACTTGGGTGACTAGATATATTGGTTTTGGGGAAGATCTCAGGCACAGGGCACCTCCTTTCAGGACATGTCTTGGTTTTCCAAGAACATATCCTACAAGAAACAATTTCTGTGTTTGCTGGTTACTGGGTCTGTACAAGTACTCTGGTTCGCAATGACAGAACGGCCTTCAGCATTCCTGGCTTTGGTGTCATGCAAAGATACGACATCGGTTTGAATCCTCCTGGTAGTTTGGTGCTTACTTCATCACTTTGTGCTTGGGTTCAAAAATAACCACTAACCACCTATGGATTTTGCCCAGAAACATCTTGGTAACCAGTGCAGCTGTTGACAAGGTCAATGAGAAGCTGCATCAGGTGAGATCAAAAACTACAAAACATACAGGAGAGCCGTGTTTCTCAACCTTGACAACTTTAAGATGTGTGGACTTCAACTCCCAGAGCTGGAAATGT